TTATCTATCGCAATGAATTTCTTATCAGTTCGGAATTCTTGTTGAGGGGGTGAGGTTTGTTTTATCTATATGAAGTCGATTTCTTTTGTGGAATAATTGTGTATTAGGATTAATAGAGTGGTTTATAAACGGATTAATAATTTTTAAGTCCATTTTGGGGAGTATTCTCTTCTACAAACAGCTACTTACTAGCTCATTCCAATATGTCGCCAGCCATATACTGCAATGTGGTTTGCTTTCCTGCCTCAATTTAGTGATATAATATAAAATACTTCAAGTTGCACTAGATTTCTTTTTAAGATTCTAACAAAACCAAGTCCTATTTAATAAGTTGCATAATAAATTAAAACTAATTAATAAGGAAAAAACTTATTCTAATTACAGCCATATAATAATTCTGAAACATGTTTACTTAAGAGATAAAAAATGAAAAGTCATGTTAAAATAATCAATTGGACTGAGTAATGACCCGTCGTTAATCATTTTACAAATTTATAAAGACATTTTCACATGAAAACCTTTATCATTATATTGATCCAAAGCATTTTTTGTCTTTCCACAAACACCCAACGCATATATTTTTAAGTTATCAGTCGATAACTAGAAAGTATTATCTCTCAGAAATGTGACTATAGCATATTCTTTAATTCCCTGTGCCCTCCAACGCCATTAACCAAGATCGGATTTGACTCCAAATTCACTATGATGTCAGATATAATTTGAATTATATATGTAATTGATTGAATTAAGATAATGCAAGGAACTAGATCAGATTTCTCAATTCCTAAGGTCGAAGAAAAAGAAATTAAAAAGTAGAATTGTTTATTTAACTCCCGTTGCTACATTGAAGAGAAAAGAAACACTTATAATATATCCGCTTCCACTTCCACTTCTAAGTGGAAGGCAATGTGTTATGCTTACACAAGTCAAATTGCACATTTTAAAATTTTCTTCTTTGTCCTTATTTTTTCATTGAATAAGAGTATCAACTACATGCCATTATTTTCCTTAACCTTGGTTCCCAAGGAAAGTAGAGTCCAGACTTTTCATGCTTCTTCGTCCTTGTTGCACATGCACCAATTAATTTGGACGTTTCTATTATTGTGTTCGATCTGAGACTACAAGCTGTAGTATAGCCAAATAAACCATCAATTTGGCAAAAATTAAACCTATTATAACCCAACAGCTCCTGCTTTATCATCATCCCACTTATGTTAACGATGACATTATATTAATGACAAAATAGCTCCTCATACAGCTAACTAAGCTACTTTATCTATGTGGTTCCACCTACGATCCATGGCAGCCAGTTTGGGTTCTTCAAGGATGCGTTGAATAATCATTTAACCTAGGAGCTATTCTTAAAACTAAAGAATATGTAATCATGGAAATACAACCACTCAAGCTAGTTGGACCAAAGAACAAGAGAAACATGCATGCTCAAGGCAACTTTGTGTTTAGTAATAGCAACTAGTGAGGAGTCTAGAATATGAATTTGCTCATTATTAACACTTGAAAACATGCATGCCTGCAGTTTTTATTTCAACTAGTAAGGAGTCTATCACATTAATTCAAAAAAATCATGATGTAAGAAAATTTAAAAAATATATATATATAAAATTTGATTTCGAAAGAATAAACTTATAAAGAAGTTGATAACCCTAAAGAATATCATGTCTTCGAAAAAGAAAATTGTATATTTTCTCTTCTAGTTTTTCAATTGCATTCTTAATGTTTGGTAAGAGAAATTTATGATTCTGAGAATGACATAGAGATGGATGACTAAATATAGAGGGTCGGGGGGTCCATCCTATGGGTGTCGTTATATATTGCTATCATTTCCTGAGATTCATCAAAATTGGGAACTGAAAACCCAAGAAAATAGAACGTTTTCTTCTTAACATGCAGGGGACCCCTTACACATCCAGACATGTATATTGGTTTCGGAGCTTGGGGGGTTCTAGTTCTACCATGTAGGATGACCAAAACAGCATAGAACATGGCCCCCCCACTCTGCCAAAGTACATGAATTTCGGAGTTCTTGGGGATGGGGTGGGGCGGGGAGGGGGAGAAGATGATAGCACTAATTGTCTTGTCCTGGGACTTGTACATTTTGCAGAAGTTATTTCCTACATATGCTTGCAGTAAACTCTGAACCTGAGCCCAAGAATTTGGTCATCATGACCCAGAATTAACCATATGACAACTCCACATTGCACTAAGTCACCTATGCCTAGCCTTTTCCTTCATAGCTATGAATTACTCCCCTCTCTCGCTCCCTCACAAACCAATGAAACAAATCCAACGACAATTAAGTCAATAAAATCAAAAGGAACAAAGTGAAGACAAGGTCAGCATGTATGCTTAATAATTTCCTTACAATTGGCATAATTCACTTACGACACCAATCAGCTTATAAGTAATGACACCTAATCTTGATTCATATGAGTAGTAATCTTACACTTAATTATTAGTTTTTTGCTTTTGATTTTTTTTATTTGTACAAGTTCAAGTAAGTCTAAAAACTCTTACATCCTTAATTCATCATTGATTTTTCTTACATTAAACGATTTTAATTTTCTTTTTTCAGATGAGAGAGTTCACATAACCCGTTAAATTTAAATACAATCAATGGTTAATAATAAGTGTAAGAGTTTCTAGGCTAATAATGATATAAATTGATCCTCTCATGAATGTATTTATAAAAATATGTATTAACAAAATATAAATGTATTAAATAATCTATAAAAAAATAATTTTAATAAAAACATGTCACTTATTTTATTTTATTTTATTTTATTTTGTAAAAAATGATTTCATATAAAAAAACTTTTTATTTATAAACAATGTTAAAATATTTAATTTTTTAAAATTAAAAAAAAAATTATAAACAATTTATTAATACATGTTTTGTTTTTATCTTGTCTATTAAAAAAAAAAAAACCCAAAGCTTAATAACAGGTTGCCAGTCAATCTATTTTTGTTACAAATCTCAATCCTCTGAGTGTAACTACCCCTATTACCAGAGGAATATCTCGGGTGCTTTAAATAGACAATTAATAAACCATAATTTTAGGTGATATCACAGACTTTATACCACAACTCCGAAGTGACTGAGTTGTCATTCTATATACCAAATGCCTACAACTCATTGGATGAAACTTCGAGAAGACAGAGTCTTCTTATTAGTTTTCCACTATTTTCTTCAGGGAAAAATAATTTGAACTATGAGAACAATTTAAATTTAAATGGAATTTAAGTTTTATATGGTTCCCTTTTTCTACCGTTATTGGAGATAAGTTATATGGAGTAAGTCTAATACGACGTCGTTTTGAGACAGAAATCATGATGTTTTTATAATTTTAATTTATTTCAGAGGTATAATAGTCTTAATATTTATAATTTTTTAAGATTTTAATACTAAAACAACGTCATTTTTATAATAAATGCAGATAATTTATCTACTTTTTAACTGCATAAACATTTTTTCTTACACTTTTGCGTTTTGGTGTTTTGTTGTGTATTGTGTTTTTACTAAATTGACATAGTACTCATAAAAAAGAATAAGAATTTTTTCAGGCCTTCTTTGTCATTGCATAAAACCAGGAAGAACAGATTTTTTTTTATAATATATATATATATATTAGAAAGATAATCCAAATCCCTCTTTCACAAACAAGACAAAAGTTTGGTATTTAGGATTTCTTTATTAGGATTCTCAACGCTTATTATTAAAAACTGACATAAAATATTCCTCATTCCCAGAATAAAACTCTACCATACAAAACGAACGGAAGTCGAAACAAATGGTTCAAACTTACAAACATTCTTAACAAAAAATAATACAAAGTCTTGAAAAAAAAATTGTGGTAAACACATGCTAAATTAAAGAAAAATCTAGGCATTACTGATGAAAATTGGTATAGTCCTCTAGAGTCAAACCTCACACAGATTGTCCATATAAACGGGGGACATATGCACAGCCAAACTGAATTCAGAATCCGTTTATCTGCATCTGTTCCTCTTTAGAATTTTGTCTCTCTCCCTGAATGTAAATATGGGAGGTATTTTCAGGTGACATAAATGTTTTCTGACCGAAGACAGGATGAATAAAATTAACTTCATCCAGCATAAAGCCACATATTCAATTCCAAGCAGAATCTCTTTCATCAAAGCAAAGACACATTCACACCCTTCCTTAGGACCATATATATATACAAAAAAAAAAAGGGATAAGAAGAGAGAGAAAGAACAAAAAGTGAATGGTTGTCTTTTAGTTAATGGAAGAACGATAGGATGAGAGTGTGGTTGGAGAGAATTGGTTCTTATGCCGTTTCCCACCCTTAATCTAGAGTCCGATTCTCCAATTGTAGACATATAAATATAAATGTGGGTGTTGCTTTGCTGTTGGAAAGTTTCCTATGTGATTTACTCATCATTTCAACGTCCACACCCAACATGTGAGTGAGAGAAAGAGAGTGGGAGAGACATGAAATTGGAGAATAGCATTCTCAATTTCAGGTTGCAATTTATTTTTAAACAAGAAGCAAAAAGTTTTTTTTTTTTTTTTTAAAGTAAAATAAACTATATTGCTACCAAAACTTTGACAACATTTTCTATACTATTTTGTTTTTTTTTTACATTCTTCTTACCAAATCAGCCTTGAGAAAAAATGTGTAATCTCACGTGAGCCAAACCTTCATTGCAATACCAAAACCCAAAGTTTGGTGGTCACCCATGGTCATTCCACCAAAACCAATATCAATACCAAGCCACTCTTCTCTCCGAGAGAGCTTAATCAACCAGTGATCCACATTGGCATTGGCAACTTTCATTTCCATTTTTGTACATTTTGTCCCATAAACCTTTTCTTTTCTTTTCTTTTCTCCCTTTTTTTTTTTTTTTAGGATAAAATAAACACAAAGAAATAGAAAGAGAGAGAAAAAAAATAGAAATAAAAATTATATTGGGGGAGGAATAGCTGGATTTAGCTGGAAGACCTACTCCATCAAGAACCGCTTCACAATCTTCGCGCTTGGTTCCAAAACCTGCCTCTTCCATATATCCGGGAAACCGTCTCCGCTGCCGTTACACCCTGACTTCAGCGCCGCCCGAAACGCCTCCGTGGCGTCAATCCTACGTAGGTCCCACCCTGCCCGTTTTAGCAGCAGGATCTTCCCTATCTGCCTCTTCGCCAGCTGACACGTGTTCTCCTTTATCGCCCTCACTGCTTCCTCGTATGCACCCTTCCGCACCCGATCCTCATCGCCCTCTTCTTCCCTGGGTCCCGGTGGGTACTTTTTAAAAAACCGGTCGAACTCAGGCACCCCGATGGCTTTCCTCAACCCGGTTTGGTTGTTCGTCGCGTTCGGGTCGAAGAACTCAGCCAACTCGTCCACCATCCCCGAGTCAAGCATGTCGTCGACTCGCTTCAACAAGTAATCCGATAACACAGGAAATGATATGTCCAACCAGAGGAAGCAACACTTGTACCTCAACTCGGAGGATATAGAAAGCGACGACTCATCGTTAAACACGTTCAACTCGGGGTCGAATCGTTCCACCAGAAGAGCGTGAATGAACGAGTTGGATCCGCCAACCACGATGGGGAGCTTCCTCCTGGAGGTGATGTCGGAGATGACTTCGCCGGCGTGGCAGCGAAAGTCCGAGGGGGAAAACTCGCCGTGAGAAGGGTCGACATTGCCGATAAGGTGGTGGGGGACGCCGTTGCGTTGGTGGAGTGGAATCTTGTTGGTGGTGATGTCGAGGCCTCTGTAGACTTGCATTTTATCGGAGTTGATGATTTCTGAGAAAGGGAATAAGGTGGCGAGTTCGACGGAAAGGCGTGATTTTCCGGAGCCTGTGGCGCCAACGATGACGACCACCTTGTCTTTCCGGCGGTGGCGCTGGAAGGAGGAGGAGGAGGCGCCGTCCATGCGAGACCCAGTGTGGGTTGTGCTGGTGGAGGAGGAGAGAGTTAAAAGGGTATGTGAAGAAGAATGGTTAAAATTGATGGGGTAAGGGTAATGGTAATGGTAGTGGGAAGGGAGAGGGAGAGGGTGATGAAGTGAGAAAAAGGAAAGTCTCATAGGAAGAGAGAGAGAGAGAGAGAGAATGAGTGGGAGAGAGGGGGTGTGTGGGTGCAGCAGAGAAATGAGATATACGGTACGGAATGTGAGACAGAGAAGAAGCGTTGTTGGGAGAAGGGGGCAGAAAGTGCGTGTGTGGTGGTGGGTACAGATAGCGTGTCCCTTAGCAGTGAGTGTGAGTGAGAGTGAGTAGTGGACTAGTGGGTTTATGGAATCAGAAATTTGGGTTGAGACTTGAGAGAGGGAAGGGAAACAACTCTGTCTGTTGTAGATGCCATTGCATTTTTTATTTCCCAAATTCAATTCAAAGTTCAAACAATGCTATGCTTGGAATGGAGGAGGTTAGGCTAGGTCAGGTTGCCTGATGGGAGGGAATAGGAGGAGTGAAGCTGCTTTAGGTTTCAATGAATGCGCTTTTTTAGCTAAGCTTTCCTCTTGTTCCTCTCTGCCTCTGCTTTCCTCTCACTCTGTTTCTTTCTCTTTCAGTGAAATGAGCTTGCGACCTTTGAGACGAGGGAGAAGTATCCCCCCTCCCTCCTAAAAATAAATCATATACTATCATTATTTCTTTTTACTATATTTTATTACAAAAAAAAGCATAAATAGTATCAACTAAAAAAATATAAAACCGAGTACCCTCTAAAATTCAAAAAATACATTTTTTTAATAATTAATTAGGAGGTATTCTAACGCCACCTTATTCTCGGAGTATGATAATAAAGCTAGCTCTTTATTAAAAGAGTGAATGCATTGAATTTATTATCGAAAAAAAAACGAGACTAATCCCCTTTAAAGAGAAAGCATTATTTCTCTTTACTCGTAGGGTGTGTTTGGTTTGAGGATTATGATGAAATAGATAAGCAAATTAGAAGTGGGTTTGTTAGATAACCATTGTGCTTTATCTATGTAAATGGTCACTGCATCTAAAATTCATATTACGAGCGTACGCTCTGCATGTCTTTTGGTTGGAGCAGAGTGAAGCACCTTGAATGATTAATTTTTTTTTTTTTTGGTACATTGCCAGGAGATATCCTCCCCAAAGATTTTCCAAGAAACTGCTTGAGGCAGGGTTTGATCCCTGCACCAAGCAATCCCTTGGGAGCTCAGCTGCCAACTGAGCTACCCTTGGGGGTTTCCCATCTATATTTTACTTACACCTAAACATAAATTTCATAAAAGTTACCTAATTTGTCCGTCTAAATTTTTTTCAACCAAACAAATTTTTTTTACATTTTTCTATCAAACATAATCCTCCAACCATTTTCCTATAATAACATTTTTCTATTATTTATAAAATTTCTCCTCAACCAAACGCCCCTAAAAAATTCTAAGGTTTGCATTACCCAATAATTAAATCCTGAGCAATGTAAAGCTCCGAGCATTCAGTTGTCAACTAAGCTATTCAAAAAAATGCATCTTTAACTAATAATGGAAGAGACCTTCTACGTCAACTGGGCGAAGGGTGTAAAGAACGGGAAAAAATTTAGTATTTCTGTCATATATGGACTAATAATAATATGTCACGTCAGATGATATTTTTTTTTTTAAAAAAAAATTATTAGTTAACATTATATACTTCTCAGAATGTATAATATAAAATTTCTTATTGTACCCGGTGATTAGTATTAGGGGTGTTCGCGGTCTGGATTGGATCGGTTTTAGAAGCAAAAATTATCTGATTCAATCCCTTTAGTTTGATCATATAATCATCCATTCTGATTTGATTTTTTTCAAATCCGATCCGATCTGATCCAATCCAATTTTTTTCGGTTTGGATTGGATCGGTTTTCGGTTTTTTGAAAATTCTAAAATTTATTTCATGATTATTATGCAAATAACATCTTTTGTATATATTGGCTTTGTAAAAAAAAAATTTGAAATACAAAAGCATTAGTAAACTATAATATAATTTTTTTAATTTTGGCAATGAGATATGAAGCTCTACAAAGATAAAATTTTGTTGATGAGATATGACTAGATTTTTTCTTGGGTTTAGTTGATGGGTTAATGGGTCTTGGGTTTAGAAATTTTTAGGCTATGATTAGGGAAATACCCAAGTAGGTAGAGGGAAATTAATATATTGGATCGGTTTGGATTGGATCGGTTTTCATCAACCCATCCAAAAACCGATCCAATCCAATTAAAATTTGCGATTTTTAATCGGTTTTCGGTTTATTCGGTTATTGGTTTTTCGATTCGGTCACCGCAGTTTGAATCGGTTGATAAACACCCCTAATTAGTATGTCCGTCATATTTTGAGTGCTCTCGTTTGCAAATTTGAACTTTTTCGCATTGATAGAGTATCATGGTCCAAACAACTACAATATATTTGGAGGAAATAGACATGAATCTAATTTCAAAGATTCAAGAATTTTGTAAAATTTTGTTTAAAACTTTATTAAATGATAGTTTCTTTTTATTTTCTATAAATTGAGTAATATTTGTTACTAAGAAATCTAATTAATGCGTTTTTTTACCAAAATAAATCTTTTAAAAAAACAAAATGTTCAAATCGATCCTCCATGAAAATTATAAAATAATAGGGAGACCCTAATGTGGGGATTGACCTCCTGTAAATTTCATTGAGATTGCAAGAACCTCGGAGTCTCCTTACCCATCCTAGCAAGACTGCCAATGGGGTTGTGTGACCCAAATTTTACTCTATTTTTTATCATTAAATTCTAACTCCAGGTAAATATTAATTATCATCGTAAAAAACAATGAATATATAATAATTAATTTCATAAATGGTATAATTATTATTTTAAAAATTGACAATAAAATTATCAACGAAAGTAATAATTAGTGGTGTACATAAATTTTATTTTTTGATTATTTGGAATTACATCAAATTTATTATTAATAATGAAAATTTATAATTAAAATAATTTTTGTTTGTTTAATTATTTCAAATCACGTCAAATTTATTATTATTAACAATAATTTATAATTAATTTTTTCCTATTCATAAAAACAAAAAAGCGCATGTATAAATAATTATTTTGATAATACAATATTGTGTAGGTCACAGATCAACCACTGGATATTAACATATACGGGAGAATTATTTCCTAGATACATTTTTTTTTGAGAAAATATATTATGCTATTTATTATTTCAAAATTAATTGAAAAATATATTTTTTATTTGTAATGTTTTATAAAATATTTTTGTTATTAATATTATTACAATGTATTAGAACTAGAGTGAGAAATGGCATAAATAGGTCTATGAATAAAAAATTTAGAAGCATATTTTCAGAAAATTAATAAATTATTTTTTGGATTTTTTTTAATAAATGGATTGAAGATTATTTTATTTGTAGAATAACTTATAATCAAAGTGATGAAAATATATCATTTTTTTCTTAATCTTATAATCAAAATGGTTGTGTGTGTGTGATCAATTTTATAATCAATTTTTTCTGAATCTTATAATCAAAATGGTTGTGTGTGTAAGAATAATATGTCTTACACCAAATCTTAATCGATGTGTGTGTGTCTTAATGGATTGAAGAATATTTTATGAGTTCGTTTTTTCTACAGTCAATGTAGATAACTTATCTACAGTGAGCCCAAAACGACGTCGTTTAGAAGCAGAAATCAAGGTATTTTTGTAATTATAATTTATTTCAGGGTTATAATAGTTTTTTTCATTATAATTTTTTAACCTAAAACGACGTCTTTTTGGAAGCGAATGTAGATAACTTATCTACGTTCACTTTAGAAACATTAAAGCCTTATTTTATTTGTAGAATAACTTACAATCAAAGTGATGAAAATATATCGTTTTTTTCCGAATCTTATAATCAAAATGCTCAACAATATGTGTGTGTGTGTGATGGGATCAATTTACATCAATGTAAGAATAATATGTCTTACACTAAATCTTAACCGTTGATTTTCATGTACCCAATAAATAGGACCCAATCATTGATTAATAAATAGGACCCAATAAATCTCAACCATTAGATACACAGAAATCAATAATTAAAATTTGGTGTAAGACTTATTATTTTGACACTAGTGTAAGATGATTCTGCCCTCTTTTACATATATATATATATATATATATTAAAGGAAAGAGGCTTAAGCCCCATAAAGCAAAAAACAAATTAAGACAATGAGATAGTCCTAGCCTTGTAGACAAAAGATCTGTCTGTTAATAATAACAAACTAATCCTAGGGGGAGTTGAGTTAAATATAAATGTATCTGCATGATTTAGATGATCTATAGAGAAATTTGCCAGTCAGTTTGTGTATGTGTTTCCTTGTTTGTAGGTGTGCGTGATCATAACCCTCCAATCTCTAGCCAAAAATGCTCGTATGTGATGTACCAAAAAAAATAAAAAATTTCCCGTATGGGAGTCACTAGTTTCGACTCACAGGCGGCGTCACCAACTCTAGCAAGCATAGTGACGACTATTGTGAAGTCACTTTCCAACATTATGTTTTTCTAGCCACCTATCCATTATTGCTCTAATCCAATAAGCATTCGGAAAGTGACCATTTTTTCACTGTTTCCAGTCTTTTTTACCTAAATGCCACGCCTACATTCTTTTTTCCCAAACTGCCACGTGGGCAAGTTTGCTGGGCAAAGAGGCGAACTATGATTGGTGAAGTGTCAGCTTCCTGGTGGTCCACAAGTTTGCTACCCAGAGTAGCGAACTTGGCTACAATAAATGCTGACGGGTAGGTGAAGTTCGCTGCCCCATAGAGCGAACTAGGTGTGCCATGTGTCTGACATGCACCTAGTTCGCTGAGTGTCCAGGCAAATTCTGTGCCATGTGGCAAAAGCCATGCAGTTCGCTGAATGGGACAGCAAACTAGGTGCCAAGTGGCAGCCACTGACACAGTTCGCTGTACCCTGTAGCGAACTCTGTGCCACGTGGCAGCTCCCTGAAAGTCCGCTGCATAGGTCAGCGAACTACCTGCCGACAGTTACAGTTCGCTGGCCCATATAGCAAACTCAGTGCTATTTAAACCCACCATTTCCCCTCC